TTTTAGGTACCTAAATCAGAGTCTCTGCAGTCAGCAGTCTTGTGGAAATATGATCCATTATTAAAAAAAAAAAAAAAAAATATCTCGGCAGAAGCAAACTTTTTTTAGCATGTGTATGCATTTATTTAATGTATCATAGCTGTCACTTAAAAACAGTAACAGTTACTAATTGTTACCATTCTCTTTGTAAGTTATTTCATGTTCTATGAGCAGGACAACAATCTTTTGGTGTCCAAATACTCTTTTTAAAGCTTGTTTATTTGTTTGAATGAGTACTAAGAAACAAAGGGTTATACTTTTTTTAGCATCTGAGAACTCTTAAAAATAAATGAGAACAGTTTTCTATTCAAAAATGAATTTTGGTAAAAAAGCAGTTTTAGATGCATGTCTATTGGTGACATTTTAAACTAGTAAAAGTCAAATTTACATATTTTGAATTTCCTTTGTTTTGATTATATTGACATGTTTAACTTTTACTTGTATTTGGATAAGTTCAGTAGTATGTTCATGTATAGTGATCACACAATAAAATAACATTATGTATTGTGTTGTATTATAATCATGCATCATAGAAAAAGTATTAAGCATTATTGAAGGAAGATATTTTCATGATTTAGAATTGAATTTTTTCAGAATTAACTTCCTCCAAGGAATTTCAACATGCCATTTTAATTCTGAATGAAAGTAAGTTTTTAAATGTTGCAGTTTCCCACAGAAAGGAAACCTGGTTTTCCAACCGATTCTAAATCTGAGAAATGTGGTTTAAACATTGGTTGTTTCATGTGCTTATGTCTCTCTACCCAAGACCTGTACTGCTGACATATTGCTTTAAAACCATGTAAGTAGAATGCTTCTCTTCCCCCCCACCCTTCCCCTGGAGGTCTTCAAACTACAAATCACTATGTGTGGAGTTTTCCAAAAGGATTAATACAAAAGTGCTTTAACATAATGAATTAGCTCAGTTACATGAATATTTTGAATAAAATATAAGAGATCAGTTTAAAACATGTTAGAATGTTGGCTTGCTTAGCCAACTTTGGAGAACCTCCAAAAACTACAACAAAGTTTTAATTGTTGGCATGTAATTCATCAAAATTTTGGCCTGGCAGGTTAGTCCTGCAAAGATGATTAGCTGTGGGGGTTTATCACCTCACAGCAAAGACTCAGCACTTCATTAGGTGGAGGGCAAAGCAAAAGGAAAATGTTCCATTTATATCAGAGGAAACTTCCAATATTTTTTGTTTTTGTTTTTGCCATTCTGAAATTTCCTTTCCTCAGTAACTTACTTTGACTTCCAATTAGCCCCATTAAAAACAAAAAATGAGTAATCACTTCAAGTCAAAGTTAACAGAATGAAATCATAAAGGGAAAGGTAGAAGTATGAGAATAGTTTAAAAACTGATTTTTTGTTGAGCAGTCCACCCTAATTTTCTTAGGGATTGCTGAATTCTTGTCTTCATGAATTGATGATACACTGAACATTTCCCTTTCTTTCATAACATTTTAACTGCCATTATTTTACAGTTGGCTGATCAAAAATTACAAAGTGTGTGAGAACCATTCTTTACTTTTGAGCAGCCATGAAGTGTGCAATGTTTTTTTGCCTTGCTATAGGCTTCCATTATCTTTGAAATCAAGCCATGTTTAAGCAGTGTAGAAGGTATTTTTGTGACTTTAGGTAAGATTTTAATATCAAGTTCTACAGTATATCAAGATTTCTTACTGGGTTTCGTTTTGAGACACATGGATAAAATGTCTTTCCCTACAACAATTGTCCTTTCTTTTTAGGAGATATTTTGTGGTAGCTTTAGTACATTACAAACCACTGGGGGCATCTACACATGCACTTTACAGTGGAGTTGACTAATTAGCTCCGCAGTAAAGCGTTACTGTCTATATGTGCAGTGCTATTAGGCCAGAATAGGATAGTACTGCCCAACACAAGTACTATCCTGTGGCCAGGGATCTGCCAAATTCACTGCAAAAGTGGGGTGTGCTTTAATCTTGCAGATTCCACACACCCCTCCACTGCTGATTGGTGGAGGAGCTGTACTTGCAGCTTGCTCCTGATTGTGACAGAGGCAAAATCTGTAGTTTTAAATATGTTTTTGCCTCCCACCACTGATTGGTTGAGGGGCCCTGGCAGCCCCCAGTGCTTGTTGCTGACCCATGGGAAGGCAAAACCCATGCCATGTTTAAAACCATGGTTTTCACTTCCCTGACAATCTGGAGGGAGTGGTGGAGCCCCTCTGCCAATCACTGGTGCAGTGGGGAGGGGCACATGGGGGAACATGAAAGATTAAAGGAGCTGCCACATATCCCACTTCTGCCATGAATTTGGTAAGTCCCTACCTATGGCAGATTTCTTCAGTGAACTGCAGTGCATGTGTAGATGGTTACTGGGGCTGACTGGAGCATGGGGGTGTTACAGCGCAGGAGGTGCCTGCTAGCTAGTCCCACAGTCTAGCACCCTCATGCCCCATCCAGCCTCCGCAGCAGGTTGAGCCAGGGTGGAGTAGCTCCAGGCTGCCAGGCTTACCCCCTGGGCCGTCTTCTAGGCATGGCTGCACCACTATGGTTCAACATGCTGTGGTCCCAGGCACCCATGTAAATGCTGCTAGTGATCCCCAGAAAATGCCTGTGCCACGTGTGCTCTGGCATGTGTCAAGTTACCCCAGGTGTGGTAAGGGAGGCTGGAGCTACTATGGGGCTGGCCCCAGCAGCCTTACCTGGGGTTTTGGGAGCCTCCTGGGATGCAGCAGTGGCAATCCTGCTCCATGGAGCCTGGTTGGCAGCAGTGTGGCTCTGGCCAGCCAGGCTCCAGCTTTGGGTGGCACACACTGCCACTGCACATGTTTTCCCCAGATATCCAGGAGTCAAAAAACCCCCTCTGTACTACTTCTTTGCAGGTAACAACTGAATGAGCAGTATGTGGTGCCACAGACTTGTCTGTGGTGCCACATACTGCACAGCCACGCTTGTCTGGATGCGGCCATTGTATCTTTTTCCCCCCTATTTTTGTATTAGGTTTATCCAGGAATGTGTATATCTCACATTCACGTGTGTTATATGCTTCCATCTTACTCTGCCCCAGGTTATCCATATCTGCTCTAGCCACTAGCCAGCTGTAGAGCTGGCTTTTTAGCTCAAGATATAGAAATCCTGTTGTCAGGCCTTGTTCTAAGATCCAATGGAGTATTTTACTGTTTGGTTTTAATTTCTGGTGAGTAAACTGGCGTATCTACATTTAACAGAAAAATAAATGGCTTTGAACCCAGAATCTAAAAGACCGCATTTGACCAAAGATAAATATACACTACTTACTGTTTTGTCAGGTAAGATTAGATATATAAATTTGAAGGATGCTATAATTACATCTCTTATTACTTACAACTTGCCTACCTACTTATTATGTACATCTCTTCCATGCCTTTTTTTCCTGCAGTAATAATCAAATCCAATTTCTGTAACCTCAGGGGTTTTATTCACTTGGGTGCCTAACCTGGGGCTCAGCACTCCCCACTTCACCTGGTGTTGAGATCATGGTATAACAAGCAAATTTCTACCTATGTCAAGAATGTAATCTCCTTTTTCAGTTTGTTTTTTGGCAGGAATATTAATGTTTTTAAAATATAGATATCGAAAGTTGCCATTTACACTAGCAGTAATGATAATATTTCTAACTAGGCATGCCTGTGTGTACAGAAATATCTGCTGTATCCAAATACTTATCTGTTACGCTGTTAGTCTTTTGTTTTGAAGACAGTTGAAATTGCTCAAAAAGTTTTTGAATAAGTGTGCTGAAACATTCTTTAACGATCTTCATTGTATGTTCTATGTTCTAACCCTTTCTCCCTGTTTTCTAGATGGCTATACAACAGATGACATTGAATTTTACTGGCGTGGGGGTGATAATGCAGTCACAGGAGTGACAAAGATAGAACTGCCGCAATTCTCCATTGTGGACTACAAGCTTATCACCAAGAATGTTGTTTTCTCTACAGGTTTGTAAAGGGGGAGTTAATGGGAAAGTGCATTTGCTCTCTGAAAAGAAATCTAGAATTTGCTTAGTGTCAGACTGCACTCCTGAATCTGCGTGAACATATGAGAGCGAGAGGGAGCGGTGAGAAGCAATTCTGAATTTTCAAATGAGTAATTCACAGGATATTAGGTGTAGTGTCACTGCCACACTGATAGGGACAATTTCTGTGTTTGGCTCCTGTCACCTTTCACTCTAAATAAGAAGCCTCTCTCTGTTATGTTAAGGCTCACTCTGGTAAGCTGTATTTTCTAACTTCTGTGTCAAGTTAGTCAGTAAAAGCCGAGGAAACTTGCTGTACTTCTCAGTCAAGTGAACTCATCAAGAAACTACTCAATCCACAGAAAATTGTCTGCCTTCTCCCACTTCTTGTTGCCAAGCTGTACAAGTATTTTGCAGATCAGCTCTTCCTCTCACTACAGAATATTCTAACCCTCATGCAACAAGTTTTGTAAGTCTCTCTCTCTCTCTCTCTCTCTCTCTCTCTCTCTCTTTTCCTATAAGTAAATGATTTTCACTAGGTTCAGGCTGAATGCTTTGTGGTCCCTAGAGAGGAAACAGGATTGGCAGCCTATGCATTAAAATCATTTTCTTTTCTTCCCCTTGGGGGGAATTGAGCCGTAAGGTGTGTGGAGCCCTTATAAAGCCTTACTATTAACATTTTCTTTGTACCTATGCCTTCAAGGCAGCGTCATATGCAAACAGTGCTGTGCCTGGGTATAGCTCTTGTTAAGCCTATTAAATAAAGATATTTTCTATATTATTTGGTCTCCTGCCTTCTGTTTTCATCACAGAGATTTTTATTTTTTCCTCCTCACCACTTGATGTGGGGGTTGGGGTGGTGCAGGCACTAAGGCCCATGGTTGACAACCCAGAGGGCATACATTTAAGGCTATAGCAGAAGTGCTCATGGAGCAGCCCTGTCAGATTCCAATAAATCTGCAAATTCTGCTAAATAACTTGTTACACAAACATGCAAAAGAAAGGAAGAACCACTGGATGTGTTGTGGTGGGGCAAGTTTTCTTTTTTATTTGAATATTTTAATAAGATTTAGCTGAATAAGGTTTATGGTCTGATCCATGTGGGTACAGAAGACTTGGATTCACCATATACTGGAGAAAACAGAAGTACTTTGTTTTTCTTTTCCACTGCAAGTTAAAATCCCTTGTGAGGACTCTGAAGTTTTCAAATTAGATGTTGGTGTGCATGGGCCTGGAGAACTCCCTGGAATGGGTAACTATTCACTAGTGCCTAGTGACCATTTATGGCAATTAAAGACATAAGTACCATACAGAACAGGTGCTACACTTGTTCAAAGGATGAAAAGAGAAAGCGGGAGGTGGCATTATACCACACACAGAATAACACAGCCACTAAAGAGTGAGATCTTTGTATATTTGGGCACCCTGAGATGTATTTTGGATGTAGATTAAAGATTTTAATTATCAAGATCTGTGAAGCTGTTACTGCCTAGACACCTTAGACTGTTGCATAAACACCTGAACCTCATTATAAAATCTAGAATTCATTGTCTTCAAAGTATCTCAATTATCGTGTAAACTATGCCTGTAATACAGTAAAAGTAGTAGAATTGAAGTGACAGGATAACTTACAACCATACCTAAATATTCCCTTTTTAGGTTCCTACCCGAGGCTGTCACTCAGCTTTAAACTAAAGAGAAACATTGGTTACTTCATTCTGCAGACCTACATGCCTTCTATTCTGATCACTATCCTGTCCTGGGTTTCATTCTGGATTAATTATGATGCTTCAGCTGCAAGAGTTGCTTTAGGTAGGCATTTTTACTTCTCTCATGCCATGTGTATTAGCTGGATAGTTTTATTATTTCCTCTGACTTACTACATAATGCTTGATTTGAAAAATAAAGCTCTGCTCGTTTTTTGTCTAGCTGGTTAAGCTTTGCATTATTTGAATCAGCATTTAAATCATCACAATTTAAATAAAATATAAAGTGATTTCATGTCTGAATTAGCTAACTGTATAATCATTGTAACGGGAATTAGGCTAATTGCCTTGGTGGTTTTTATTGCACTTGCATTTCATCTAAAAGGCAAATTTTTTAGTTTATTTAAGTTCATGGCAACCCAAAACAAAAGTACAGTGCTGCATTATGGAATATAAATTGCTTTTTCTTTTAAGTATGCATTAGATAGTATACATTAGTTTTGAAGTAGGACTGCACAATGACTAAAGGTCCCCTAGATAGGTATATGGCTTTGCTTCCTTAGCATGACCTTTAAATGCAAAAACAAAACCATTTTCATAATTAATGCCCAGAGGGCTATTTTATATGAATGCATCTCATCATTAATCCTTTGTTTGTTGATACCATGAGCATTATCACAGTATCCCAGCATAAAGTTAACACAAATAAAAACTATTTTTACTAGTACCCCCTTCAACCATGGATGAGATAAATAATCCTTTGCTAGGGAAAATTTGCATACCCTAGACGTTGATATCCAACTCTTGTTAATTTTTTTTTTTAAATTTGCAATTTCCAAATTAGTCTCATTTCCAAGAGACTAAGATTTCTCCTTAGGTGTTCAAACATAAGCGTGGACAAAAAAATAGCACTGAGACGTGAGACAGTAGCTCTGTTTTGGCAACTGATAGCTAGGATCATTAAAAAAGGCTGCAGTTACACCCTTAAGAGAGTATCTTTGCATGACCCAAGATATGTATTTGATTTAACATAATTTATTGTAGCTGTAATTTTCTCAGCTCCAAAAAATAACCAATTTGTATCTAGAAAAGAGAAAAATCAGGAAAATGCACTTTTTTTCCCCCCACCACAGAAAAAAGAATGCCTTCTCATATTCTGTGGGGTGCTGGCATTTAAAGATTTATAATGATAGAAGACCAACTTGAAAATAATTGATAAACCTTTCATCTTTTTCCAGGAATCACAACTGTGCTCACCATGACAACAATCAATACTCATCTACGAGAGACTCTCCCCAAAATTCCCTATGTGAAAGCCATTGACATGTATCTGATGGGATGCTTTGTCTTCGTTTTCATGGCTTTGCTGGAGTATGCATTGGTCAACTACATCTTCTTTGGCAGGGGACCCCAACGTCAAAAGAAAGCAGCAGAAAAAGCTGCCAGTGCCAACAATGAGAAGTTGCGAATGGATGTCAATAAGGTAAACTGAAATGGGGGGTATTTTTTTAGCATTAGATAGTGGCCACTACAGAATTCAAAACCGTATTTCTTATGTAGAACAAATGTAGTAGAGTTACCACGAATTTGCTTAAGCTGTATAGAGCATTATACTTAGCTACCTCAGCAATGAAAGCCACCCTCTAGCCGGAGCTGTGAATGTTAGAACTTGCTTCCAAAAGCAGATACTCACCATGTGCTCAGAGATTTTTTATCAATGCAGAAATCCACAAAGATATATTTTTTTTCTTTAAAAGAATAAATCCAAAATGATGGCTATAAGCTGGTGTGCAAAAAAAGAGCTGTATGAAACACTAGTAACAGAACTCAAACAGAGTTTATAAACCTTTCAGAGAACCTCAGCCTATCCATAGACTAAAGGAAATAATTGAAACTCAAAGATCTTTGCATGTTTTCAGCTGGAAGCATCCAAAATATTCTTTGTAAAATGCTAAATTACTCTAAATATAAGCGTCAGTTTTCTGTACATTTTAATTTCAGGTCTAAATCTGAACCAATGGGGGGAGAGCGTTTGCAGTCCAATGGATGTAGTAAAAATGAAGCTATTACTATATATATTAAAACAATTGTTTAATATATACATTTTGGCAAAATTTCCTGTAAAGCAAATTTTGGGGTGAATGCAAATCATGCCCAATGCAATATTGCAAAAATATTTTCATGAAATAAAAACTGTGATTTTTTTTCATAAAATATCAGTTTAAATCCAAGTGAAATGTACTAGTTTCAGCTCTTTGTCCAACCCTGTCCCCTGCCACATAACCTCTCCCTTCCCTTTTTCCATTTGAGAGTTTTTCCATGAATGCATTCTAACACTACATTGAAAGGGTTACAATTTTCAAACCAGAAAGCCATTTTCTACAGAAGTTTATAAATGGAAACTGATAAGTTTCATACAGCTCTAGAGGTGAATTTTTTCACATGTACCCAGGAACTTTTATAGTTAGAAACTGAGTGTAAGAGTAGTAGAAGTGTGGATACCCACCTATGTCCACTATCAATTAACACCTAAATATTATACTTGATTGAATATTTTCAACTGCTAGATTATATTTCATGTCTCAGAGTTAGTCCACTAACTATATTTTTTAATGTGAAAAAAGATCTAATTGTTTTATCTTATAGGAGTATGGTATGCAAATGAACTAAGACAAATGCATGATGATTGGGCAAATTACTTTTGATATTACAATACATAATTCATTCCACTCGCACTTAACTATCCCATTGTTCATGATCAAACTGAATTAAAACCATCAATGTAAAAAAAAAAAAACCAATTACAAGTATTTTATTTCACTTGTCAATATTTTTATTACAGGTTTTCCTTGAAACACTCAGAGTTATGCCTACCAACCTTTCTCCCCCCAACCCCCTGCATGAATTTGCAAAAAATGCACACAACACAAAAGTTTTGTGACTAAGATTGTCATTGGGTTCTGATGTAACCATCAAACCTAAAGCCTGGTTCAAAACCCTCAATGTCAATTGAAAGGCTCAGGTCTATCATTTCCATGATACCACAAAAACTTTCACGTGTGCTATACACTGTATATCTTTATTTCACACTTTCTCATTAGTTAGCTCCTGCATATTTACCTATATAGTCGATCTATGAGCCATATAATGAAAAAAAAAATAATCGTGCTCCATGGTACTCTGGGCCATTTATCACAACAATTTATACTCAGAATTAAAGAGCAAAAAAACATAGATATGAATCAAATCCTGAATTCTCAATTAAAAATCCTGTATGTCGGTGTCACTGGTATTTATAGTAAGGCTTGGGTCCTCACTTGACTGGTGCCCTACCCCTTTGCAACATTAGGCCGAGACTCAAAGTAGTGCCATTTGTGGGTTCTGGTCACCTTTCTTGCTTTCCTGCCATGACTTGATGTTCTTCTTGGGAGACCGTTCCAGCAGATGGCTTGTGAGGTACCACACTCGAGGTTTCTTCCTGGGGCTGCAGCCTCCCCTTTGCCCCACGCTTACCACATCCAGTGCCGGAACAGACATTGTCGTCTTGAGGCTCCACTTCCACGTGATCACTTCTCACCTGAATGTCCTACCTTTGGGGGGTGAGAGACCTCCTGGCCATCAGCTCTTTGTAGGACATCCTTTGGCTATGGGCTGATGTACCTGTAACTGAACTTGCCACGGCCTTGCATTAATAAGGTACTTATAAAGGAAACTCAGATGAACCAAAGTAAAAATGTAAATGAGCACTGAGATGTACGTGGGGCTATGCTTCTCTCCCATAAGCTCTGTGGGCTTGGCAGTATTCTGCTGTGCCCTTGCAGCTTCATTAGGGTCCCTTCTCTGGGTCTTCATCCCTTCAGCTATGACCCAACACTCAGCGTCACCGGTTGCTCTGGGTCCTGACTCGGCCCTCAAACTTCCACCCCTCTGCAGGGGCTTCTCGGCAGTGGAATCTGCCATCATCCCCCAGTCTGTCTCTCTCAGGCTTGGGGTCCTGGGTGGTTTCACCACTTCACTTGGCAGTGCCTCACATCTCCCTTCCCTGCACTTCCTCAAGGGGTATCTGTGTGGCCACATGCAGCCCGCTCTGGCTGTGCTTGGTGCTCCTTCTTTTTTCTCCCCTGGGCTCAGCAGCGTCTCCTGGGGTTCTTTCTTGGCATGCTCCTGCCAGGGCATGAAGTTGGCTCTGCTCCCTCTATGGGGTGGGTATGGCTTCCCAACTCCGGGCCCCATCTCTCTATGGTGTCTCCCCACTGCTCTTCGCTTACTGCCCCTTCTCCCTCCAGTCGCTCACTTGGCCATCTCCTCTTCAGCCTGCTCAGCTCCCAGGCCCCATGCCTCTCTCTTCTCAATCTGAAGATTCAGGCTGCTCCAAAACCACACACCTGAGCCTGCCATCCCCATGTTTCCCCAGCTGTTGTGGGGGATGGGGAAAATCTTTGTCAGGGTGGAGAAAGGCTCTTTCGGGTCTCTCTTCCCCTCTCACAGCCATTAACAAGAGATAAGTAACTTTATTGTGAATAGCAGAAGCTAACAACACTCAGGGTTTGCCTTGTATGAAATACATTTAGAGATAACTGTATTAACTGTAGTTGGCATTTTTGAGTCTGCCACCAGTGCTGGCCAGCTTTGTTAAGTTACTGCAATCTTACCAGAGTAACCCAGTACCTTTTGAGAGTCCAGAACAGTTTGCAGTTCCCTTAACAATGGATTAAGTAGTAAAGTAAAAGTAGATTGGTAATAAAGCAATAAAATAACATTGAACAAATGCAGTATTCATTGTATCAGCTGATGTATTTGCAAGTGTGACTCATGTCATTTGGCAAACAACAAAAGTCAGATTCTTTTTTAATAAACCAGAATATTTTATTTACAAAAGGGAACAAACTATAGAAAAACATCCATTCACAATATTCCAAGATCTGGTAGAGAAATAAGGAAGTTCCAATATCAGTACAGGGACACTGGGTCTCTACTTAGATGCATATTACTACCATTAGATGGAACCACTAGAATCTCATGGTGCAGGCAGTCAGCAAGCCTAAGGCTGAATCGATTCAATCTTTGCAGGTTAGTCTAAACTGCACAGATTAAATTAAAACAGAAGTGAACATATTTACGTTTGATTCAAGAAATGCAGCCACATGCCTGCAGTGACTAAGGCCAGAAGCCAGGAGGTGCTACAGCACAGCTCTTTGGCATGTAATCAGCATGGGCTATGTGCTTGCTGCCTCTTCCTGATGCTGCTGAGGTCTCTGAGATTTGCAGTCCAAAATCACAGCAGAAGGACTCTGCAGGGTTGTTCATTATTTCCTCTTCCTGCTTCCAGGTGTCTCTGGGATTTGTAGTCTACACTTGCAGCCAGCAGTAAGTTTGAGTGGGGAAGGGATGTTTAATCCCCTTCCCTGGCCCAAGACACCAGCTGGGTTTTGCCTGGGGGGCACTCCCCCTCTGTAGACTGGCTGCATCCCCAACTGGGCTTGCCCCCTCTACCCCCTTGCCAGCCAGCTCTTACTGCTCCAGCTAGGGAGCAGAGTGGCAGGACCAGCCCTCTCTCTGGAGCAGACAATACAGCCCAGCCCAGGATTGCAAAACGGGATGGGATGCTTAGGGACTGTGACTTAACTTGAACCAGGAAAGGGTCTGGGACATAAGTTTCATAAACCAGTTTGACCCAAATCAGTTAGACCTGAAAACTACATTCAATCAGTTTTATTTTAAACCAGTTTCAGCCATTTTGAAACTAGTGTATGTGCACTGAGCTTCTGTTCTGTTACAGGTTTAAACCAGTTTCTGATCACTTAAACCAGTTTGTTTGCAACTTCTGTCCCTAGCCCTAGAGAACTTGAAAATCTGGTAAGTCAGAGCGAGAAACCTCCTATTTGTTTCATATGAGTGAACGCCACCAGCACTTCCTGGGGGATGCTCCATGTAATACTAGGTTCAGTATGATTTAAAATTGTAATAATTTTGTACCATGTGCTAGGGTTGTGCGAAATTTCACCGGATGTTTCGTTTAAAAGCTGTTTTGATACATTTCAAGCTCGAAACGGTGTAATCAAAATGAAACAAAAGGCTTCAAAACAGCTTTGAAACAAAATGAGGGCACTCAAAATGTTTTGAAAGTTTTGAAACATTTTCAGTTTTGAAGCCAGGCTTACTTCCAGCTGGCAGCAGCAGCCTCCTGTTATCTGGCATGCAGATCTGGGGGCCCTCACCCCTGGGAGGAGTCTGGCACAGCCTCACAGCCCTCCCAGGGGTATGGGGACCCAGATCTACATGCAGGATGAAAGAAGGAGGATGCTGCCACCTGGGAATGACACTGGGTTCAGCTTTTGCCCAGTGCTGGGAAGATTGCTGCTGCCACTGGCCCCAGGCAGCAGCGGCAGCCTCCTGTCATCTGGCACACAGATCCATGGGCTTGCACCCCCAGGAGGGCTGTGGAGTTCTGCCAGACTCTTCCCAGGGGTGCAGGCCCCCAAA